ACTTGGTCAAATGGAGCGGATGCAACAACGAGAACAACAAGCAACGGCTCAGAGGACTTCGCCAAAGCAAATGAGGGAGAATGTCACGGGCAGCAGCTTTACTTAAGCCCCGTAACGCTATCGCAGCCGCTGCACTTCGGCTGCACCTTGTAAATATTTCATTTAATTGTAAAATAGTTAGAAATTAGAAAATTTTAGTATGATTCCTCGGTCAAAAGACGTCTACTGGTGTCATTTGGGTTTTTGTTGCTAAGTCTATTATAGGGGGTATTAGTCTTTCAAAAATCTTTCAAACTTTCTAGTATTCGCCCCCTGCACTAGCCATTGTAATTTCCTGCTTTCATCTAATTGTGATCAAATTTACTTTCGTCCCGCAACGATCGAGAAAAGGCGGAAGGTAGTCTAGCGGAGCAGACTACTGCTGCACGGTGTCCCTTTCTGTGCTAAGAAGAAAGGTAACCCTACACCTATTAGCATTCAATAATAACTTAGGGGTGGTGTGCAAAGCTTCTGACAAAAGTTTTGGCAAATTTTGATAAAAGTTGATGAAATGCATATTTCAAAAGCCGTGAGTACCATAAAAAGTATGGTTAAAATTGAAGATTGATCAATTGAAAAGTTGATAAAATTTTAGCAAACAAGCCCTTACTGAAAATGGAAACAACAAGCAATATACATGTACTGAAAGTTGGTAAAAAAAATAAAATGGGTGAACTCCAATAATTTATTTCTTCCAAATCCCAGTGAGGGCATTTGCTCTCGCTGGGCACGAGGTGGCTTCGCCCCTGCATGACTATATATACCTATTAATATAAACATTACAAAGAATAGTAACAATGTCTATTGTATACATCGCTATAAAACAAACTTCTCATGTCTTTGGGAATATCTCCAAAATGTAAGAATATTATGTTAGTATTCAAGAACCCCTACACAACAAATTAGTTGAGCACAAAAACTAAGCCACCATAGGATACGATAGAAACTTACTATTAGTGAGCAATGTTTTTAAAATCAGACCAGCTAATTCAACCAGAAAAAACGGTGAACGATCCAAAAAGAGTCCCCTCAAATGGTAAAAACCGTTGACCCCTGCCAATGAAGTCAAAAACTGGAAAACCAGCCATGACTTTACCTGTTTGTCTCATTAAACAGAAAAGAACTTATAAAATAAAATCTTTACTAACTAATGCGATTAGCATTGACTGCTTAGCTGCTTACTGTATCGCTACTCTCACCACAGTCCTTTCATTAGCCTTACTCTCTCTCATCCTAATAATAACTCTCTGTTGTGGGATCGTTAAACTTCCTAGCAACCCATTGTCCACCCATGCCAACAAATTTCATCTTTTAGTTTAGACAAATGGGTATTATTTTTGAAGTGTATAAACAAGTTACATAATAACAAATTTTACATTAACAATTATGGATTTGTATTTTCTTTGAGCTGTTGATGTGGAAATAGTCATATATTATAATAAATTTTCATAGCAAATAGTTTATTTTTTATTTTTTAACTATCGGTTCGACCGCTGTTCAATCTCGGTTAAACCTTTTCACTTTGACCTTCACCTTTTCCGGATCGATGCTCGGGCCAGGTTTGAAACATTGAATAAGTATTCATATTCTCCTATTAAAAAGTGCTTTTAAATTTGATTTTGATTTGGTGACTTATTTCATTCACTGAACTCCTTCAACAATCTAATCAAAAAGGAATATATAATATGCATTAACTTCAGGAACTCCTATAAGACTATATGTACTAGTGACATTATTGAAAACAATGAGATACTGAAGACAAAAATTTTGACCAGTTAATCAATACCTCAGTTTGGTCAGCCAAAATAACAAAGATGGCATCAGATTGGGGATTTACGAATATCCATTCTCCATCCTTCAAGATCTCAAGGCCCCCCACATCATCTTGGATGAGAAAGGTTATTGCACCCATGTCAGAGTGTGCTTGCAAACCAAGAGTAAGTTCAGGCTGTGGGCAAGGAGGATAATAACTGATGGTGATGTTCTGATAGAATTCCCCTACGACCTCTTCAATGCATGAAGAAGGCAGGCTTAGGCTTTCGGAGATCAAACCCAGTAGCCTCTGAGCAAGTACTTTCATTTCATCACTATACTCTGCTACAACTTCTCTATTAATGAGTCTTGTAGTTAGTCATTTCACACAAGGAATTATATCATCAGGATTGCAAAGCAATGAAAACTAAAAATAGGAATCTTGAAGTAATCTTTATCAAGAAAAGAATACGAAATAATATTGTTTTGCAAAGACATAAGAGAAAAAGAATCCAGCCACCTGTAATTGGGTGAAAAGTGGGGCCACCGGGATGGATTGCGCCTGGAAAGGGGTAAAGTATGGTGATCAAAATAATCCCTCCAATCTAAAACTGTGTCATTTGATGCAACTAGCATGCGGCTGCCATAGCCCTCAGATGCAGGGGAATTGGCGTCGCACGAATAACTGAGCTTTTGATCCATAGAGCAGCCCTCAAAAAAGGAGCGGCCTGCAGTCCTCATGTCATCCAACAATCTGATTGGAACTCCATGGTTGATAATGTGGAAGGCTCCCCATTCTCTGCAGGCTAGCCCCAACTGGTCACGGATAATGTCAGCATTGCTGAGATCAATAACAGGAGGCGTGGGTGCATCACAATCATTGCTTGAAGAGATATTCGAGTTGTGCTGTGCTCTGGTCTCAAGTGGTTGCACATATTGAGGTGGCACCACCATATTTCCATCTTGCACTATACACTGCACTCTAATCGGATTGCCCTCCACTTCCATTCACAGTTTATTCTTTTCTCAATTGGTTATTAAGCTCTGATAGAACATAAAATAGTCATGGATACAACAAAATAATTAACAGTCTTGATGGTTAAACCAGATCAAATAAACAGATAAACTCACAAAAACAAGCTTCTTTTAAGCTAAACCAAACATGCTCTATAATTGAATTGAAACAAAATTGCAGAAATGTTATAAATGTCATCACACCACACTGAAGCACAAAATTTAAGAAAACCTGGTAAAAATTCCATGAGTCCAGCCAGATATGAATGCCCTTTTTTATTTTGTTTCTTTTTCCCCCCCATAAAATGCAAAAAAAAAAAAAAAATAATAATTATAATAATTATAAAATAGAATAAAACAATCAAATCAGTGTTGATTAACAAAAAATTGATAAAATTAAATTTCTTGCCTATAAGAGGAAATCTTAACCTGGTTAAGTGATTTTGCATGAGTTTTGGCACCGTTAGTAGGAGAGATTGAAACAGACTCAAGAATTGAACTGGTTCGACTTCTGGTTGGATGTGATTTTTGCAAAGAGTATTCTTTTACATAAAAGGTTTTAGAGCATATAAGCATTAAAAAAAAAATTACTCTTTTAAGTTATTTTTATTTTCAAAGTTTTTATATGATTTTAGTTCAATTTTTTTTTTTTTTTTGTTGGGATAAAATAAATTTGAATCGGACTACATATACTTGATTTCGGATTAAAAAACTATCACTTGATGTTATTCTTTCTTGGCATTAGTTCTTTCTTGATATACATTAGTATTACTATTTTTCTGCTAGAATTGAAATGGTAAGAGAAAATGAGAATAAATTCTTACTCAAGTGAAGAAATCTGAAAACCCTTTCCAGTTGAAATTGAATCAACAACCCATTAAGCAGAACAAATTGTTACTCAAACAAGAACGAAAAGTAGTACTTGCTCAAATCAAGAAAAAAGCAAAAGTATTAAATAAAAATCATCAAATGTTCCCCTAAAGGATGAGCACCAATTTTTCTAATAAAACAACTAACAGACATCAAGTCTACTACTTTACACTACCGTCTCAAGAATGAAAAGATTCACAAAAGACCTCAATATTGAAGAAAGAAAAATGATCCCTTTGATTCCAAACTAAAAAGGGAACCATTTATTGGCAACTCAAAACTCATTAAGCCCTTGTTTGATTTTGATGTTTTGAGAAGTGATTTTGTGAAAATTGAATGTGTGGTTAAAGAGTATGGGAATATACAGTCCAGAGGATGTGCGGCTTTGGAAAAATGATTTTGAAAAATCAAAATCAAACAAGGGCCGAATAAGGAATTATTTACTTGTGTTTCACGTGATTCTAATAATTCATTTTTCTCGTTCTTGTTATCAACCACACGTTATCAAATAAAATAATATTAAACGTAAATTCAAAAGCTTTTACTTCTTTTTTAACCGTGCATTATCCAAAAAATTAATATTCATCTCATTGTAACATGGAATAATGGAGACCAAACGGACGCTAATGAATTCACATACAGTTCCAATAAAATTTTTCAGGGAAAATGGAAAACGATCAAGAAGAGAAAAATAGTAAAATCATATTCAGATATATAGAAATTAAAAATGAGACCAAATGTAAAACTTAAAGAGTAAAAAGTCGAAACCGTTTGCGATTTCTTCAGGTATGAATGACGGTAGAGAGGTTGAACTTCCCACCAAAGCACGAATCTCGCCCAAGAAGAGTGGAGAAGCTTCTGTAGGGGCGACCAGCGAGGGAAGAAATTCAAAAAACCAATTGGATAGGAACGGAGCTGTGATTATAGAGAGGATCGCAGGTTACGGGAGAGTAGGGAAGAGGGGGAGGCTACGTTTCTTTTTTTTTTTTTTGTGGATGAAATTTTAGAAAATGTCCACTTTTACGGAGTGATCTGCACAAACGTCCAATAGTTGTTCAATGTTCATTTTGCAATTATTTGGACGAAAATACCCATGTTAGGAATTTCTAATTCCACACTAACATTCAAATTTTTGCATATCATTAAAAATTGTGTTGGCCAATAAAATGTGAACACATAACCTATACTACTTGACTACTTGTTTCCAAAAGTACAAATGTCAATCCACATTAAATGCGTGGGTCAAGTCGGTTTGAAAGGAAAAATGGATTGATTTAAAAATTACATTGGGTTGGATTAAAATAGGTTTATAAATGTGGGTCGGGTCGAGTCGATTCATGAATCAAACCCGTATCAAAACGTAAAACCTTACCCCGATTCTTCATTTTTGCGTCCAAACATCAAAACTCCTCTCTTTGAGCTTCGAAACGTCGCCTCTTATGCAGTCTTCTCTTCGGTGATTTGGCGGCCACCTTCCTTCGTGTGAACTCTTCTCTCCGACGAAAATTGGGAATTATTGGGTTCATTTCATTTTGTGGGTTCATTTACATCTCAGTTGAGTGGCATAAAGATCTGAATAATCCAATCTCAATAACTGACACCCAATATCCGCTCATTCCAAACATTCTGTTCAACGTATTGGTCGTAAGTTACCTTCCCCTCACATTTTCTATACGTGTTACCGAACTTCTATTTTAGATAATGATATTTGGAAAGATTTATTTATTTATTTTTTATTATGATATATTATGCTTTTTACTTTTTGACTTTTTTGTTTAGTTATGTGTANATACAATAAATTACAAACTTGTACGTATCCATACACGAATTAACTTTTGTTAATCAAATTTAACATATTAATTCACGTAATAAAATAGAGTGCCTATGAATTCCGAATCCCCACGAATCAATTCCGTTAAATTTGCAGATTACATAATTATTTAAAGAGGGAATTTCACAAAATGTCCACTTTTTTAGTGTGATTTGCAAATATGTCCAAAAGTTGTTCTATGTCCATTTTGCTATTATTTGGACGAAAATACCCATGTTAGGAATTTCTAATTCCACACTAACATTCAAATTTTTGCATATCATTAAAAATTGTGTTGCCCAATAAAATGTGGACACATAACCTATACTACTTGACTACTTGTTTCCAAAAGTACAAATGTCAATCCACATTATATGCGTGGGTCAAGTCGGTTTGAAAGGAAAAATGGATTGATTTAAAAATTACATTGGGTTGGATTAAGAGCTTGTTTGGTAGGGATTTTTTGAGGGAAGAATTGATTTTGAATAGTGATATGATGTGAAATGTGTGGTCGAAAAAGAATAAAAAATTATTGATGTGATGGAAAATATTATTTTATTGAAAAATGTGTGGTTGAAAATGAGAANATTGATGTGATGGAAAATATTATTTTATTGAAGAATGTGTGGTTGAAAATGAGAATTGATTTACTGTAGAAAATTAGAATCCCTACCAAACAGGCCCTAAAATAGGTTTATAAATGTGGGTCGGGTCGAGTCGATTCATGAATCAAACCCGTATCAAAACGTAAAACCTTACCCCGATTCTTCATTTTTGCGTCCAAACATCAAAACTCCTCTCTTTGAGCTTCAAAACGTCGCCTCTTATGCAGTCTTCTCTTCGGCGATTTGGCGGCCACCTTCCTTCGTGTGAACTCTTCTCTCCGACGAAAATTGGAAATTACTTGGTTCATTTCATTTTGTGGGTTCATTTACATCTCAGTTGAGTGGCATAAAGATCTGAATAATCCAATCTCAATAACTTTGACACCCAATATCCGCTCATTCCAAACATTCTGTTCAACGTATTGGTCGTAAGTTACCTTCCCCTCACATTTTCTATATGTGTTACCGAACTTCTATTTTAGATAATGATATTTGGAAAGATTTATTTATTTATTTTTTATTGTGATATATTATGCTTTTTACTTTCTGACTTTTTTGTTTAGTTATGTGTATGTAGAGAGAAAAATTCTTTGGTAGAATAAAATTAGTGCTTGCATATACGCACATAATATAGGTAGCTGTGTCTACATGTAGATGCAGATGAAACATGTGTAATTTCATTATGTCAAATGGGATTCCTTTAGAAGTCATTTTCTCTTTTGGATTTTACCTAGGTGTTCTATTTAGTTTTGTGCCATTGGGATCAGATTTTATTTTCTAAAAAATTAGTTTTATACGACTTATATTTGATTGTCTCTGTGTGTTTAATATTTGATATTATTTCAGTAAGGGATTTCATTTGTTTGTATTTTGTACTGAAATCTTTCTGCCCTTTTGTCTCTTGATCTTTTTGACTGAACTTGCTGGCAGCATTTCTCTAATTGTTTGAATCAACATATGCTATGGATTCGGGATTACTTTGCTTATATTTAGCTTACTTATTGAGTTTTCTTTAATTTATTTCTACTCTGAATTAATGTTATGACATTAGTGCACAATTTTTATGAACACTTGTATGTGATGTATACTTAAGCAATATGCTTCCAATTTGGTCTAATTTTATTCACGATAACATTGTTTAGTTTTTGAATTTCCATCTTGTAATCTGTATAATGGGTAAATTTCTGCTACTTTTTGGTAAATTAGGCCTGTAACATTAAACTATTCTGGAGATGATTTTATATGGTAAAGTTCAGCTCATATTAAAGATTTCTAATAGGGTATAAGGTTTTGTTATAAATAGGATGTTGTATCATGTGTCCATCACATTTATAAATGAGTTTGAAGGTAGTTCCAATTTGAATTTATTGTTTTATTTTCAATTTGTACACTATGTTTAATGGGTTTTTATATGATATGATCGAGCATTTTGAATGATTAATTAGTTTTTTTTTTTTACTTTTCATAGGTTATTTCATTTTGTTCGTACGTTCTCATAGTATTTCTTTTATGTGTGTCTTTATCATTTGTAGATGACGTTGTCATACCGACACAAAATTTGGGAAGAAGAACGTGTTCCGGTTCACATCTCACAAGTTAGCAACACCAAATATATAACAGTTGTCATCAACAAATTCGATGAACAACAAAAGAGT